CCTGTCTGATCAAAAAAAAAATCTCCTGATGATTCTTCTAACAATGTGTGATTGGAATAATAACTTCACATGTTGAAGAGTTTTGTGCTGCAGCTGAGAGGCATGTAAATACAAGCTGCTTATTTGCAAGAAGCTTCCAGATTTGCAATATGATTGCTATGGAAACCACATAATGGAAACCTTATAACCATCTGTGTGGTTTGATGGATTTTACTGCATAGCTGAGCTGTTTTTGTTTACTGTTATTAAAATGTTGAATGGAATATATTAACCCACAAACATTGACTATTTGAGGTATTAATTAGTATTATATAATGACATCATGCCTCAACACCAAAATAAAATATGTACAATAATAAACCTAAGTAAAACAATGTGTGTGTATATTTTTAATATGTTGCGAACGTGATTATTGCCTAGTTTAGTCACTTGTCCTTATATATTTTTCGAGTGGTGTGGAGAGGTTTGCTCTGTTAGTAAATAAATAGAGTAGGATTTATTTTCTTGATTTTTGAATCCTTTTGTTCACTCAGTATTTTTTAAAATAATTTTTATTTTTTAATTACAATTGACACACAATGTTATATTAGTTTCAGGTATACAATATAGTGATTAGACATTTATATAACTTATGAAATTATCACCCCATAAATCTAGTATTCCCCTGACAACATACATAGTTATTACAATATTATCAACTATATTCGCTATGCTGTACTTTACATCCCCACGACTGTTTTGTAACTACCAATCTGTACTTCTTGATCTCTTCCCCTTTTTCATCCATCTCCTCCACCACCTTCCCATCTGGCAACCCTCAAAGTGTTCTTTGTACCTTTGAGTTCGTTTCTGTTTTTTGTTTGTTTATTTGGTTCTTTAGATTCCACATGTAAGTGAAATTATATGGTATTTGTCTTTCATTGTCTGACCTATTTCATTTAGCATAATACTCTCTAGGTCCATTTATGTCATTACAGATGGCAAGATTTTATTCTTTTTTATGGCTGAGTAATATTCCCTTGAACATATGTACTACTTCTTCTTTATCCATTAATCTAGCGTCCATCGATCGATACAGTAGCTTCCATATCTTGGCTATTGTAAATAATGCTGCAGTGAACACATTGAAGCATATCTCTCCTTGAGTTAGTGCTTTCGGTTTCCTTGGATAAATACCCAGAAGTAGAAATACTTGGTTCTTCTTTGTCTGTTTTTATAACTTTTGTTTTAAAGTCTATTTTGTCTGGTATAAATATTGCTGCCCCAGTCTTTTTTTCATTTTGATTTTTATGAAATACCTTTTTTCATCACTTTCAGTACGTATGTGCCTTTCGATCTGAAGTGAGTCTCTTGTAGGCAACATATATAAGGGTCTTGTTTTCTTATCTATTTAGCCACCCAGTGTCTTTTGATTAGAGCATTTAATTCATTTACATTTAAAGTAATTGTTGATAGATATATAGTTAATGCCATTTTATTATTCATATTTTGGTCTTTTATTTTTCTTCTTCTTAAGAAGTCCCTTTAACATTTCTTATAATACTGGTTTAGTGGTGATGAACTCCTTTAGCTTTTTCTTGTCTGGGAAGCTCTTTATCTGTCCTTCAATTCTAAATGATAGCTTTGCTGGGTAGAATAATCTTGTTCGTAAGTCTTTGCTTTTCATCACTTTGAATATTTCATGCCAGTCCCTTCTGACCTGCAAAGTTCCTACTAAGAAATCAGCTGACAGTCCTATGGGAGCTCACTTATAGGTAACTAACTGCTTTTCTCTGGCTGCTTTTCAGATTCTCTCTTTGTCTTTAACTTTTGGCATTTTGATTACGATGTGTCTCCCTGTCACTCACTATTTTTTGAACATCCCCTTTGTACTATATTCTATTCAAGATTCAGTTTGAGTTGTTTTCTCTAAGATTAAATACACACACACACACACACCAGGTTTGTATCTTTTATGTGGAAGCTGTTTATATTGTTAGCTCAAGATGAAATGAGTTGTTTGAATACTGTTAAAAAAATTGATATATGAAACACAAAAGGCTTTGACTGAAAAATATCAGTCCTAGGTTTGAAAAGGAGAAAGGAAGTATTTTTAAAGAGCATCTCATCCTCTAAAATACTGCTTTTTAAGCATCTGACATGATTTCAGTTTTGATACCTCACAGTAAATATTGATACTTAAATAAATATTTTTAATATTCTGATAATTTAAGAATAGACTGTGCACATTATAGGCACTTAAATTTTCATAAAGTAAGAATAAATTCATAGTAATGAATTGCTCTAAATTCACTGTTAACTTTGCCAAGAACAGTTTTTCCACTAAATTATTATAATTAGTTTTTGTGATATCTTGACACTGACTTTGGGTGGTGAGTCTAAATTTCATAGTCTCTTCTGAAGAGCTGAATAGTGCTTCCTGTGTTGGTGTGGTTATGGCTTTCGACTTGAGGACAAGTGCCCTCAACTCTTTTTGAATTTACTCCTTACTATTGAATTTGTGATCAAATTGTAAGAGTGAGAGTGCTGGGGAAAGAGCAAGTGTGAAAAGCAAGGAAAGCTTTTTCCTTCACCTTAAAAAAATTATTTGTAAAATGAGCAGGTTAGACTAAATGACTGTAAATGTCCCTAATATCTTTAAAATTTGTATGAAAACACCCTATTAACCTGTTTATGATAACTAGTCCATGAGGTGTGGCATAAATGAGGTAACTGTTGTTGAAGAGAGAAGAGACAGGGTTTAGTATTAGACTTTTTATTAGGTCTTCTACGTATTAATTACTATTTGAACCATATTAAATTGCCAATGCTAGGTTTGACTTCATATATATAAAGTAACAAATATTTCCAGCTGTTCCTTATATTAGAGCTTTCATTATTTTGTTTGAAATGAGTTACAAAACTTCAACAGTTATGTTTGTCTTATAAGTACTGTAACTCTCAAGCTTGATTTAAATGCTGATTTTTATTTAAAATTTGCCTGAGACTTCTAAGCTTACATCTGCAGTCCTGACCTCTCTACCAAACCAAACTTTCCAGTTGCCCCTGGACGTTTCCTCTGTGTTGCCCCACCAGTATATTAAATCTCTCATGTCAGAAGCACAGGTCCTTGTGTTTCCTCAGCAAAATAGCTTATCTTGGCTATTCTCTTTTTAGTAATGATGTTGCCATTTCTCAGTTAATAAGCGCAAAACCTTGGTGGCTTTTTTCCCCCTTAGCCCTCCACATCCAGTCAGGCACAGAGTTTATCAATTCTAGTTCCTTTTGTCCTCATAACCATCCCCTTTCCATTTCCTCTGCCCCTTCAGTTCAGGACTTCCTTCCCCTTTAGCTAGGCTCCAAGTGGTCTCTCTCCCCATGCCCCACCTCCAGGATCCAACACAATGGGATCCGATGACCATTCTTCAAGCATAGTTTCTGTCCCAATCTTTCTCTGCTCAAAAATCTTCTGGGGCTTGTGTTGCCCACCAAACGAAAGTCTAAAGTCCGTAGCAGGATGCTCGTGGCCCTTCAACAACCGGCCCAGACCACCAGCATTGTCTCCCGTCCTGCTCTTCCTCTCTGAGTATCACATTCTTTAGCCAAAATGTATATGATGGTGTGCCTTGTTCCTTTTCTTCATGCCTATCTCTCTGTCTGGAAATCTCCTTCCCATCTCTCCTTATGCAAATTCTGTCCATCCCTCAGAGCCTTCATGGTATTCTCCCGTTAGGCGGTTTCTTCCCGGCACTTCCTCAGTACCTGGACCTCGCCCGTCAGGTTTTAGGCCCCTTGTCCCATTTTCCTTAAGATCCTGCCTTCTGTCTCCTCTAGGCTGTCAGCTTCCTGAAGGCAGAAGCTCCCTACTACCCTTGCATCCCGGGTAGAATCTCTCCCTCTTATAGGTAGTTAATACTCAATGAAGATTGGTCGGTTGAATTACTTAACATTTGTAATGACCATACTTATATATTTTCATATATATTTAACGTTTGGATTTCCTTCAAATTGATTCTTTTGAACCAGTTTTGTTTTGTTTTGTTTTGTTTTGTTTTGTTTTGGCATGCCATTTCATTCATATGTCCTGCCTTAAATATTTCTAAGTTGTATATAAAGGCTTATGGGAGGAAAGTGGTAATGTCATAAATATTTTTCGATGTAAAATATTGAATAGTCTGTTGACTCTGTTTAAAACTCTTCTCTTTAAGCTTATCATATTTATTCCTGTAACTTGGGGAAGGAATGTGATGGGAAAGTGTGGAAATAATATAGTTAATCCACTAAATATATGTAGGATAAAGAACATGGACTTTATAATCACAAGCCTAAATTTGAATAACAGACACTGGAAATTTCTTTACCTTTTTGAGTCTCAGTTTATTGTCCTGTAGAGTGAGGATTGAAAAATTATTTATCTATGAAATCTTAACATCCGTTATGGTGTATGGCCCATAGTAGGTCCTCAGTACAGGTTAGGGAGGGTTATCTTGAAGGATGAAGATCCTTCTAGTGTCCTCCTGTGAAGCTCAAGTGAGAAAACCTATGAAGTCTCTGATACTCCATAAATGACATAGGTTAACTGTACTTTGTATCACACATTTTCTCTTTGCTATTTTGATGTTTTAGGGACCATGATTTTATCTTTGGTACTCCTGCCATAGTAGAATGTTGTCTATCCATGTAGTGCTGTGTGTCATTTTACTGGATTTCAGGGCTTTTCTGGATTTAAGATCGTCCCAGGCGAGTTTCTGTAAGCGTTTAAAACAACGTATGCGAAAACACTAGTACGTATCTTCAATTTATTAAGCCAACTGGTGAAGTTGCTATTTGGAAGTAGCTAGAGGTTTATTTATTCAGCTGTAGATTATTGAAAAAGGCATGTGAATGTTGAGTGGTTTCCTTCTTTGAAAAGGCATATTTATGTGTCACAAACTTTTAGTTTTTCTCTTAAGATGGGGTGAGCACGGTACTGTCCTCCCTGCGGAAACCCTTCATCTGCTGTGTATGTTGTTTGTTTACAGAAGAGGAAGAGGACAGCACTCCTGGGAAGGTGGACGAACAAAAGAAGATGAGTCAGGACAGCGCCTATCACACCGCAGGTGACCAGTTGTGCCGCCTCCCGGGGAAGCTTATTTTGGTTTTGTTCGCTCTCCTTTTAGTCATTTTCTTACTGCTCTCAAGACATTCACACAGCTCCCCGAAGCTGGCTCCCTCGGTCTGGATCTCTTATGGCTGATAAGCTGCTTAGTCCCATTTAGGATGCATGAAAACCACTTGAGAAGGATTTATAAAGTAAGCCAATTTATACAAGGTATTCCTTCCTGAATTACTTTGTAATGACTCAATTAGCTTTCATTTCTGCACAAAGGAGATTTAGTTGCATAAATTAGCTTATCATCATTGAGGAAGTGTCACTGCTAAAGGACAGTTTATAGATACAACATGCAGTTGCTGTCAAACCTATAAGAATGTAATATAGACATCTGTGTATACTTTGTGCTTGAGCAGAACAGACTTCTGCCATTCAGAGACTAACAGGGGACAACAAGTTGCCCAGGGGACTGGCAATGTAGACATCTCTGAAAAGGTCAACTTGACACAGGCTCTGACAATCGACCCACAGCTCTGTCTTCTTTGATAAAAATCAGATAAACTTAAGACCGCTAATTGATCTGCAGCCTGTTTAAATGTTGGCCATGCATATCTTCATTGCATATGATTAACACAGAAAGCAAATGAATTGGGTAAGAAATGCCAGGGTCCAGTGACAGCAGCTTAAAAATTGGAAAAGGACACTGCTGGCCTAGAAGGCGAGGAAGGATATTCCCCTTATCCATTTCCACTTGGCACGTGGCCCCGAGTACTAATTAGGACCGAGACTGGAAAAATAACTGCACACGCGATGTACAAAATCACATGGTCTGGGCCGCTCCTCTTGCCGGTTGTTATTCCCAAATAGCGAGAGATAAACCACATCTGTAGCGCAAGCACAAGGCTAGTTTTGATAAACCAGCAATTATTTTACACGGAAAGAAGAGAAGGCCTGCCTTCTTATCAGGACATGACACCTCCTCCTTGCCGCATGTCAGCTGGGGCAAGGTCTGCCATATCATCCCATGTCCCGCAAAGAGCTGTAGTTGGGGGTCACCTTCCCCTCTCTGATATGCCCATACATCACTCTTTCAAGCTGTCAGAGGCAGGGTGGACAAGAAGTGTGTGTTCAGGAAGTAGCTTTCCAGAGTCCTTCCTACTGTGACATGTGGAAAGGAAACAGAGCCCTGGTTTCCGGACCTGGACAGGAAAGCGGGAGCAGGTTGCTGCGAAAGGTTTTCGTTTGCTTTTTTCAGAAAGGAAGCGAGGACGAAGTCATTAGATGTTAGCACTCAGGTCCTGTAGAATGCGGCTATAAAACACTAAGGCTGAGTGAAACCTTGAGGACGATGTTCAATGGGAATTTAAGTATATGTGTTTTATTATGTGCCATAAAGCTTCTGCCAAAGACGCATAGTTTCCTTTTTTAAAATTTCAATGCAGGTGTAGAAGGTAGACACATATAGATAGTCTTTCCACAAATATAAGCATTTTGGCTTAAAGCGATTCATTCTACTTTTCAAAACCCCTTTTATAGTAACTATCTCCTAAATTTTTGCCTTTGAGGGAAGGGGGAAAAAATCAGTTTTTCCTCCGAGGAATGCAGTAAGTAGACCTAGCTTTTCATGCAATAGCTATAAATTAGCACTGCAATAATTCTTATCTTTAGTGACATGAAATTCTTTTCAAGCAGCAGTTTTAATGCTTTTGCATAGCAGTGACCTTTGCTCTTCCTAGGCTGTCAAAGATGTAACACTAGAAGTTTGTTTGCTGTGCCGGGCAATGAGCTGACAAGGGTATTACTATCGTGCTGAGCATCGCGTGATGTGAACTTCTAACCTTACTCAAGAATGTTATATCTTTTTTGCATTGACTGATTTTAGCAAAAAAAAAAAAAAAAAAAATTCGGACTAGTGTAAAATGCATAAGCAAAAACAAAATTATTTGTATTTCTTACAGGTTCTCATGTTTAAGCTTACATATTTTGCATATATTTATTATATGTATGATGGACATTCCATTTGATTTTTCTGAGCATTGTACAATACACTTACCTTCCTAGAATAGTTTTTAAATCTATAACCCTACTCAAGAAGAGATTCTCCATTCTCTTACTGTTGTATGTTTCATCTGTTCCCATATTTTTAAAAGTCTCTTCACTTTTGCAAAACTATCTCCAAAGTTTAGTTTATACTTTCATAATAACTTTGTTATTATTGCCCAATGATCTGTTTTTGTATTTTTTAAAAAGCAGTAGCAAATGCATTGTTTAAATCCTTCACAGGCTGGCTAATTTAGAATGTTTTGGGTATTTTTTTTTTCCTGTACCTTCTTTTTTTAATTCTTCATGCCTCTCAGAACAAGAAACATAAAGAGGTGATTTTTTTAAATATAATTTTGAAAACACAGGTCATGTGATGTGGATAGAATAGGAGAATTAATCCATGCAGGACAACTAAATAGACTTAATCTGTATTCAGAATGTATGCTCATCTGTGGTTTATGACATTATGCTCCATCCAATATTTTGTTGTTTTTAAAAACATATCTCACATGGATTATTTTTTAGTGTATAGGTGAACAGTGTTAACTTTTGTGAACCCACTGTGCTTCTGAGGCTGTTTCTATGTGTAATTTTTTGTGTATGTTTAGCCACACTTAAAAAATTTTAAAGTAAACCAGAAGAGCTCGCTGCTCTCTAAGAAATAAGATAATTCCTAATTTTTAGGTCTAGAATTTATACTAAGAATCTTAACATTACTTTCCTGAGGAGACTAAGGCTAATAAACGTACTAGCAGGTTTTTTCCCTACTTGTGATTCTTTATATCTGGTAGTGCATGCTGAAATAGATAGAATAGTACATTGTGTGTACCATTGTGTGTATGTGTAGCCATGTGATGTAAACAACTTATTATTCTTTAACAGAGCTCACATATGGGATGCAGAAATAAGATTGGTCTTTGGGTAACATTATCATCAAGATTCTAGAAAGCACAGTAGAAAATGTATCTTTTCCCCAGTATCGCCAAATCTCTAGCCCTGTCGCCTCTTACGACAGTGAGATTTAATGAAATGCTCATGATGCACATCTAGGGAGAGATGCATCTTGCGCACCGTGGGGGTCTCTCTGCCCCTCCTGTGCTCCTGTAACTCCCATTAGTGTTAATGGGAGCTTCACCAAGCGCATCGAGGGGCAGAGAGACCCCCAAAGTGATAAGGATTATTATGTTAGAAATCATCGTATACTTTTTCTTCCTTCTTCCCCTCACCTCTTGAAAATCTTTTAAATGAAAACCTATGGTGAGAGGATCTGAAACAGGGAAGAGCAGGCAGCAGGCTGGACAGCTGGAGAAGCTACTGGATGCTCTAGCTAAGCTACAACCTGTACTCTCGTTTTTAGCCCAAGTTTTGTTTTTTCAACCTTTTTGGATCAAGCCTAAGGCAGAGCAGCGTGAGGAACACACAGGAACCTCAATTGGGGAAACCAGCTATTTAGATCCTTTTACCTCCTGGCCAGTGCCTGTGGGGGAGGGCCTTGCATGGGAAATGATGTCATCCTCTCTTTGCTCTAATTCCTTGACTTTTAAACTGACACTGACGGACTGCATGGGGCGCAACATTTGACCCATTTAGCAGTTGATTTAATCTGACTAGGATGTTTCAACTTCTAAATCTCTATTTGTCTAAATAAGTGGTTTTTAAAGGAAATCAGTCACTTTATTATTAAGCAATTTTTTTTCTTAAAAAAATAATTTGACAATATTTGGAGTGATCTGTCCAGCCAGAGTGCCCTCTAGTGTCCATTTATAGAATTTACTTACTATAAGCTTTGGTGGGGAAATATAATGAAGGGTGGCCACAAGCATTGTTAGTTCTTGGTTGGATCTCAGGCTTGTACACATCCCTGCTGGTATCAGTGATGAGTGCTCAAATGCTAGAGTGGAGAAGTCACTAAGGTATTCGTCTCTCTCTGTCCTTCTCTCTTCCTCTCTCCTTTCCTCCCCCTCCCATTTTCCTCCCCTCCTTTCCTCCCTCTCTCTTCTTTTTTTAATTCTTAGAAAACAAGAGGAAAAAAAATCTAATAGGAGGATTTTTCTAGGTTGTGTATTCTAGTCCTTGTTTATTTTCTTAAAAGTATAATTGAATAAAGAAAAGTAGCATCTTCCTAAATATTCAACCTCCATAGTATTCAAGTATTTTGGCTTTAAAAAACGCTTCAGATATTAAAGAGAATTCAAAAAATTTCTAATGAGCGTAACATTTTGTATATATCACAAACTGTGTGTAATAAGACGAATGCCCCAGTGACACACTAATGTGACTAGTTGTGTTGGAATGGCCAAGGAGCCTGCTGTTGAAAGCCATATAACAAAACTAAGATGACAACCCTGATCCGGCATGCATCGCCACAGTTATCCCGTCTGAATCCAAAGATGACATTCCAATGATGGAAGTTGTCAGCATGTATATGTTCTGCCTGGTTAGTGAATACTCGGACATCTTATTGATATTACGTGCATTCTTTTTGTGTTAACTCATCAAAACTCAATTATCATGAAATTAAAAACAGGAAACAGTTCTCAGTGTAACAAAAGCATCCAGTGCATTTAACTCTGTGCTGTGTTTCGGGAGACCCACATTGTATAAGTGACAAAGCATTTATTACCCAGTTTATTGTGGTATTACAGAGCGGAGAGCGCTAAATAATCAATCAGTTAATGGTCTGTATGGCAGTTTGAGCACATCACATCCATTGTGCTTATGCTGTTAGAAGGATGAGCTGATAACTCCAGTGTATGCTGCATGTTTATTCAGAGCCTAACGTCCTAAACTAGGGCTGACAGAAGTCTTGAAAAATGCAGCTTCAGCATTGGGAATTTCTAAGTTGTTAAAATATTTTTAAAATAACTTTGAGAGAGGTTTGGGTACAAAAGTCCCTAAAGAATCCTTCGTATTATTTCCACTTTATCATCTTTCTTTAGTCAGCTTTAGGTTTTAGAGTTACAAAAAAAAAAATGTGTTCCCTAGTTTGGTTTAGATTTGTACCTTGGCTCCTTTATCATTATTTTTATGAAGTATCCCAAATTCTGTAAGATGGTCATTTCGCAATGTGTTTATCGCCACACATGGATATTGCTCATTATGCACTGTGGGTCTCTTCTTCAAATCATGTTGCAGATGTGCTTAGGTTCACATATAAAATAAGTGGGAAGTAATTTTCAGGTGCTGGATGAGAACACATTGCAGTCACAGGTTTTAGATACATAAGAAAGGGAAAGGAAAAAGACATCTGAAATCAGATTTTTTGGAAAATGGTCCTTAATTAGATGATAAGAAGAAGTAGGATTCTTATGTGGGTATGATAAAATGCTCTTTGAATCAGGAAAGAGTTTTTTTTAGACTATTTTGGTGGTTTGGGGTGGCCCTTTAATTTCTGTTGGTTCATTTTTAAATGAGGGTCCATTACATGAAAGCTTCTAACTCTTGTTTTCTCTTTCTTCCTAGGTGATAAAAGCACTGATTATGCTAATTTTTACCAGGGTTTATGGGACTGCACAGGTGCTCTTTCTGATGAATTGTCATTTAAACGTGGTGATGTGATTTACATTCTTAGCAAGGTAAGAAGATGCCCCAAAATGACAACTGCGAAAATGGAATACAAAGCTAGATTTTTATGCATTTGGATTACAACACTGGGGAAAAATGCCAGTTGGAATTCTTCTAGGTCCTTGTTAACAATTGGGAGTTCACAATAATTAATTATTTTGTCAAGTGAAATATAATCAAAATTTAAACACAATCAGATAACAGGATTCGACTTAACACTGTGTTTACCTATCACTTCAGCCTTTGGCTCACATCCACACACTGCCTTCTCCAGAAACAATATACTTATGAGAGAGTTAACATTGTAAGGTATTAGGTTATTTATTATGTTTTTCTTTCCTCTTCCTTTTTATTCTTCTGTGTGCTTATTCTGATTTTGTCTGCCATTCACTACTGGAAACACTGTGTTTATAGAACAAGTTTTTCATCTTTATGTAAATATATCGGGTGTTCCGACAATTTAAGAGCAATGCTTTTCTATTCAGACACGTTTAGGTAATTTCTTAAAAATTTAACATAATAGTATTTGTAAATGTAATAGCAAAGTATATTGCTACAAACTCATGTTTATGTATATAAAAAATCACGTCTCTGCCTCTTAAGATACTGGACTATCCAAAATCTTTCTGCCCTTAGGTCTAAGTTTCTTACTGTGATTACACTTCAGATGCCGTGTATGAACTCCCTTAATCTTCACATTTAACTTCCCCTACGATAATATGGCTAGTCAAAAATATCTCCTTCAGTCTACTTTATGAGGTAATTTTAGAAACAAATGATGTATGGAAACTATTTAATATGAGTGTGGAAACGTTGTATAAATCATAAGTCTAGGAGTTTAATGTGGTTTTTTGATTACAGAAATATTTTGGACTTTTCAGAAAGATAACATGACTTGTTAGATATAGAAAGTAATTTGGAAATAAGGTCACTTATTGAATTTTAACAGTGGTTGGCTGGTGCGTAAAATCATAACAGAGAATCATGGAACATTTGAGTGAGGGATCTTAGGGATCATCTATTTATTTGTGGTTTTTATAGATAAGAGAACTTGGGTCAAGAAAGTACCAGAGCCAACTTAACTGTACATCTTGACTCCCAGACCAGGGCTTTTGTTCTTGTGTGTGTGTGTGCGTGCGCGTGTGTGCGTGTGTGCACGTGCGTGTGTGTGCGTGTGCGTGCGCGCGCGCGTGTGTGCGTGCGCGTGTGTGCGTGTGTGTGCGTGTGTGTGCGCGTGCGTACACGCGCATGTGTGTGTGCGCGCGCGTGTGTGCGTGCGCGTGTGTGCGTGTGTGCACGCGCGTGTGTGTGCGCGCGCGCGCGCGCTTGTATCTATCTTCCTTCCTTCTTCCCTCCCTCTCTCTTTCTTTTCCTCTCTCCTTCCTTTTTCTCTCCCTCCCTTCTTTTCTCTCTTCTTTGTGCTTTATTTGAAACTGTAATAAAGTACCTATAATGTGCCAGGACCCATTCAGGCACCAGGAATCAAAAAAAAAAAAAAAGATATATGCACTTGTAGATTATAGGGGGAAAATATTTAGTAAGTAAATATAGCCAGCTGTGATAATTGCTGGTTGAGGTGCCAAAGCTAAGATTTGTCATTTATTTCTCAGTCCTCTGTTCATATGTATGGGATTTTTTTTTTTTTTTGAAAGTTTTTAGTTCTTGGAAGCTACAGATAGCCATATCACAACTCTTGGATTGAGTCTATTATTGAGCATTTAATTGTCCTGAGTTAAGACACTCATTTTTTGAGTTAATTACTTAATATAGGAACGAAACTGATTAGTTTCAGTTCTTAACAAACTTTCTTGGAATCATTCCTCAAATTTACTTAGCTCACAGTTTTTTTCACCAATTGAGCCACTTGGAATTTCAGATTATAGGGATAAATAGCATATGGCCATTATTTTCCTACGGTAAATATGGAACCTTTAAAGCCCGTGCGTATCTGTTCTGAGAGCCTTCTTTGTAAATCAGGCTGTCTCTGCTGCTGAAAGCCTCAGAGAACCAACCTCCAGAGCGGGCTGAGAAGCAAGCAGCCTTGCAATAGGCATGTCTCATTCTTACCATTGCCTTAAAAAGTCATTTTCTATTAATATGAAATTTAAAATATAATCATATGTGTATCATAGTTCTGAGTTTCCAGGGGAGGTTGATGATGGGGAGGGAGGTAGTTCCAGTACTCCCCAAAATGTTTTGTAGAGATTGTAATTCTATGTGTGAAGCCTGATCATAGAACCAAGGTTAGTGGCAGTCCAGCACATAGGAAGAACATAGTGCCATTTAAAATTTCTAAGTGCTATTATTTGGGTATGGGCGGACCTAAAATGCTTTCTCTTATTAGCCCTTCACAAGGCTTTAAGTTCTACCCTCAGCACCATTTCACGACGGGCCTTCTAGAGATGGGTATTTGGTTTTTGAAGGAAGAGATGAGACGTTATTAGCCAGCACATCATCATCACTGACAGTGTGGTTATCTACCCACGTTACCCAGCTGTGGACTTCGCTGGCTCAACTATCTAAATCTTGGTTGCTTTGGGGTTCAGTATATGTTTGTGAAAACTCTGACTTCTCCACTTTGCTTTGGGCAAGCTCAGATCGGACTCTCCAGAGACGCTAATTTTTATTTGGCTTGGCCTTCCAGTTTTCATCAAAACTTTGGCAAACATAGACCTTAAGTTAATATCATAAGTTCATTTAATAGCAATTTGAATGCTTGGTATTATTATAAATTTAGAACTCAAGGCCCTTGGAAGAGAGTGAAAAATCGTTTAAAAGGGCTTGTTTCTAGGTCAAGGTAGAACTGATGTTTATATATCAATAGACTTTTTTTGAAAAGTACAATTAGTATAAAAATCACTAGCATCGTTATATGCCTAGAAATTTATTTAGTCTCAGAGTTATATTTAGACGTAGTGATAGAATGAAATTTTACCACTTTATTTTTTACACCATCTAGTGGCTCAGAATGAGTGGTGCAGGTAATTGCAGCTAATGTGCACAATTGAAATGATGTCATAAATCCAACTTTAAATCCAGCTATGGGTTATTACTTTTCTATCTCATGTCAATAAAGTATTAGCATTAACCATGAAAATTTTTTCATCATTCTGAATTAAATGTAAAAATTGTATATATAAGGAAGAATACATTTTAAGGAGTCTAACACAATAGTTATAGAGACATTGAAAATGTATACTTTGTAGAGATATTAATGTTGTGACTTTCTAATAACACCATTAAAAGATTTTAAGGAAATATAACTTGCTTTTAATAATTGATTTATAATTTGCAGTATTTATTACTGTTTGCCTTACCTCCTAGAAGTTTGTCAATTCTTAAAACGCACTTTAAAAAAAGGCAACACAAGATAGTTTAAGAAACTATGCATTCTTTCAATATAAATAAACATTTAAACAAATCACGAAATAAAATGGTATGCATCATAATAGTGTTTTAACTAGTTTGACGATTAGGCTTTCTTCATTAAAATTCATTATAGAAATATAGTTTGATTTTGAAATTGAGTTTCTTTTCTGTTTTTGCAAGGAAGCCTTGATGGGGTGTCGGCTGTGCTCAGTCAGTCTGGGGGTGACTTATTTATTCTAGGCCTCTTTTGAGAGTTATACAAATCTTAACCTTTCTTTTTAAACTTTTAGTGAAAATCAAATGTTGCAATAAAGAGAGAAGAGTAGGCAGAGGCCCTGCCCTTCCCCCTCCCCTTTTTAACATCTTCCAGTTAACAGCTGTCGTGTGAGGCCTGGCTGAGCTAGCCCCTCCTTCAAAGTACCCCACATCTTCTCAGTTTCAACCTTTGAACCTCACTAATAATAAATCTAAATCCTGCTTGCCTAAAAGCCAGCAACGTTTTGCTTACAGTTCTTTTCATATAGGGCTTGCTGCTGTTTTTTATGTGTTAAAATAAAACACTTTATATACTTCAGTAATTCAGTGGCGATTTAGAAATCACCCCTCTCCTCCCCCCCCAAAAAATAGAGCACATTGTCTGGGGTGGATAAAACTGAAATTTGTAATTTTAATGACAGCTGCGTTGTTAATGAATTAACTCTGAAACACAAGGCCTGTTTCACTTTAATTTGATGGAGTGAAAATTATATTTGAGGTGGAAAATATTTTTTTTTAGAAATTGGGTTGTTTAAAATCATGCTAAATTCTTTTAAATAGTTTGCATTTCAATTTTATTACCATCTCAAACATGGACATAATATCATTGTTAATAGTGTTTTCCTAGACCTATGTGAAATTTTATAATTTTAATAGCAGGATCCAGGCGTGTAGCTATAGGCATATTCCATAGCCTCACATACCTCTTTGGTATGTTATTCTACTTGCTGTTCTGGATTTACATCCTCTCTTAGTTTATCTTTCAATCTGGACTCATCGGTGAATTGCTCACCACATTCCTATCCTTACTTTTAAAGCAATAAATTACTTTTAGAGACGTAATGACAGAGGAGCTATGCTTCATCAGGAAAGAGGCATGCTTCTTTGTCCAGTATTAACAGAAAAATAAGAGTTAAGACTCCTGGAATATTTTATCTAGTCTAGGGGATATGTGACTTGAGTTTTGCAGCTTTTTGAGCGATTTTTTATTAAGGCAAAAACAGAATATGTAGGTTGACAGTATTCACTAATATACAATAAAGGTTTTTTTTCTTCTTAGTATATATTGGTTGGAGTTCCAAGCATTGCCTCTTTTTATATTTGTTTGTGACTTTTCCCAGTGGTTGGTGAGTTGTGGCTGTCACTGATCATTTGCTTCTCATCATGAAAATGTAAATAAAAGTTCAGTTACTTGAGCTTTTTTTGGTTTCAAACCTACCAGAAAAATAAATTGAAAGTCTTGCTGAGCTCTCCTGGCATAGAGAAATACAGGTTGACTTTTAGCTCTTTTAGTTTTTCCCTTGTGACCTTCGGACCCATTGTGCCACAAACAGCCTAACCACCTGCTGAAGAGTAACTAGGACGTGTCGATATAGGACTCATTGTC